GCATGCGTTTGTATACATGTAGATACTCTTTCTTTTCTCTGCGTGTTACACATCAGCCGCTGTCATTGTGGTTAACAACATTGTTGGTAAACAGCTCATCAATCGCGAGTCACTTGTTCACTCTCGCGATGTACAGCTCAACCTTCAAGGCGGTGGCGGAATTCGTTTGTGGCCCTCACGACGAGAGAAAGAAAATTCTTCTTCCACGATAACTCGGGATTGAGAAGGCATGCGTGCATACACACAAGCTGCAAAAAAAAGGATAGGTCCAGCTCGTCATCAAAATAGGCTTCAACCTGTTTCAGTACTTGTTTCGTACTATGTGTTTCGTATGAACATCTGCTTCGTAATGCCGGAGCGTAGCGTGAACGAGTTCCGTTCCAGCACCAAACAGCCAAACGGCTGAGAGTTGACAAGCAATAGAGCCCTCGTGACGCTTGGCACGCGAATAAAAAGAAGATGACCTTATGGGTTTTAAAGCCATCATCGACGCTCAAAACGTTTAATTTCCATTAAGACCAACTCGTGCACAAAGAGAGCTTTGCGCGCAGCTTCCCATGCGAGACTCACGAAAGCTTGCCACCGTGATCCACGCTGCATGTCACGTATTCAATCGGCCTTTCCCAGGGTCACTTCCTATGGACGAGAACGTTGTGACCGCCCTACGAATATTACCGTCGTGTTCGGAGTCTATCCAGCTGATGGTGACCGCGGCAAATGCTGCAAGACAAGCATCATCAACAGCCCTCACATTTCAGCAAGACGGTCAAAGCAGTTTAGCAGCTACACGAATGATACGGTGCGAAAAACTACTCAAGTCTTTGAGAGAATCACATGGCGAATTTCTTGCACGTGTTGAAAAACTGCGCAACTGCATAAAGCTTGTGACACAAGAAACACCCACAAATGCCGCGCAGTGGAATAAGCTCGGGGACAACTGGTGGCATGAACGAGCTTGTCGAATGGACAGCATGTTGCAGTTCGTGATGGAGAAGGAGTCGGTTGTATCTCGTTTGCTTGGCAATACAGACGGAAGCTGGCCTCTTTTTGAATCGTATAACGACATTGTGAACCGCATTACGGACTCTGTGAATGACCTGAGTGAAGGATGGGATCGATTAGGAAAGTATGCAGCGGAATGGAAGGACTTAGCCATGGTCGTGTTCAACGGTATTGGAGAATCTGGGAGCTTGATCCCAGGATGAATGCAAGCATACCTTTTTCTTTCTAGAGTTTGGGATTGTTGGTCTGGCACGGAATGGCCATTGTTTCGTTCGGCTCTCCGTCCTTGTACTAACCATCTTGGTGGGTGTCTTTTTAGCGCCTACGACTGGTACGAAAAGCTTGATCACCCACTCGTGGTTGGCGGGTGTGGTCGAAGACAAGCCTTGAGCTCGAAGTGAAGCCATTCTGGCGCATTGTTAGAGTTGCCGACTTGCAGATATGCGGAAAGGGAGCACTACAGAAGCAGGAACAACTCGGGGGTGGTAATCAGACTTGAGGGCGTACTGGCTCATCTCTCAGCAAAACGTACCAGGAAGGGATTTGCTTAGTCATATGTGCGAGAGAAGAAAAGGAAAAGGAGTTGAAAAACGGTATGCGGTTGTTTCGTCCGAGGGTTGTGCGCATATCGACAACTACGAAGCTAGGTAGTACAAGGTGTGTATAGCGAGCTCTGTTTGCTTTCTCGCATTGAGCAATTTTGCGCCGCCAACACAACACACACAGGTTTGCTCAGGCATTCTCAGTGGCGAAAAATGATCTGTGTAATGACGCGGCAGCCTGTTGAAGTGTTCGTGTTGATTCACACGCAGACCCATATCCAAAAAAAGGCGTGAGAAGGATAGGAGTCGAGAAGGGGTTGAGACGAGGTGCCAGCGCTCCCCTCTCAAGGATACAACAGCACACGCATACATCTGAGGTGAATGTGAGTAGCAATCCTAACTGCATGCGTATAACCTTACAACATCAAGTGGCTGCTGGAGTTTTTGGTCTTAGGTTGATAACTCACGGTGAAGACAAGATTTATCCTTCACTGCCCTCCCAGTGCTGCTCTGCGGCGATTGGGTGGCATCCTCTCTGAATGCTGTGCTGCCTTCGAACGAAAGAGAAGATAAGGGTTAGCGGTCGGTAGGGTTAACTCTTAAAATATTAATAATAGGAAGTCGACAGCTCGTCAAGTGACAAGTGCGTCGCATGCAAGTGGGCGAGTCTGCTCCCCTGCGTTGCACTTTGCCCTCGCCGCTAAAGCCTCATCTTCAGACTTGTGCGTTGTGAAATCCGCCTGTATATAGCCTATTTAAGCCTTCCAAAGGCTCTTGCTCTTTCGGTTGCGCTGCTTGGACGCCACTCAACCGAAAGCGCCGTAACGCGAGCTTTGCGCCTTTCGACAGCGATAACAATGCGCTCGCAGCGAAAGTCTTGATGTTCCGCGGCGCGAGCTCCTCGCGTCATCCTTACTACAAACAAGCAAGTCCGAAACGAAAACTGAACTGGGAAGCGGAGCAGAGCGTATCTGCTGTACCTTCACATACGCCATAAGCTCATGGAGCACTTTACAACGTGTGAGCTCACACAAGCTGGAACATTAGCCACGCTTGAAGGCGAGTACACCACAGCCAGCATCGACAAAGTGACGCTCGTAACGCACGACAAAAAGGCCACTCCCCATGTGAAGGGGCTTCTAACAGTGACAACGCACAGAGTGGTCTGGACCGATCCAACCCGAAGACGGGCAATAGCAGCACCACTCACCGCACTACCATCCTCACTGCAAGTAGTGGACAAGTCCAACCCGCTTCGCGCGCGAGTGATCATCAACTTTGGCCGCGGAGTGCGCGTCAACTTCGAGTCGAGAAACGGGCCGAGGGACCGCGAACGCTTTACAGCCGCCGTGCAAGACGCGTGCGCGCGGAAGGAATGGAAGCGCATCGCGGAGCAAAAGGCGAAGGAAGCGGCGGAGAAGGAGAGAATGGGAGACTACGTGCGACGTCGGGCCGGGGCAGGCGGCGTCCAAGACCGCGTTCGAATGCAAAACATGCAACGAAGAGACGCCATAAACAGCGGATTCGCCTCTATCGATCAGCTGCGCGGTCAGGCGGAGGATCTGGTCAAGATTGCTCGTTTATTTCGGAGCAAGACGAATTCAAGCGGGGAGGACAACGAACTACTCAACATGATGGCGGAAATGGGCATCGAATCACCCGTGACAAAGGAGGCGACAGGTGGCAATGTAGCGGTATACCGCGAGGAGTTGTCACGACAAATTTCACACTTCCTACGAAAGCGCGTGTTGACGGTGGGCGGTCTGATGACGTTGACAGATGCGTACTGCCTGACAATGCGCAATAGAGCGAGCACGGAGCTGGTGTCACCGGAGGACTTTCGGGCGGCGTGCGGCGCGTTTGGACGATTGAAGTTGGGCATCGAGGTGAGAAGACTGGAAAGTGGCGTGTTGGCTGTTTATATCGATTCGACGAAGGACCGATCTGGGGCGCAGGCGTTGTGTGACATGGCGATGGAAATGACGAGTATCACTGCTTTGGACGTGATGCAAAAACGACACATGCCGATTCAACGCGCGTTGGCAATGCTCAGGGAGGCGGAGGCGCTCGGATATCTAGCAAGGGATGAGACGACGGATGGATTACGTTTCTTCCCGAATGGATTCGACGCGCTGCTCAAGTCAAGCAAGGAAGGGCGGGCGTAGGGTTGCGCGTGTGTTTGTTGTAGCGTTTCAGGAGGTGTGTAGCAATGTACATGTATGTTTTCGAATAGGAGTAGCAGTAAAAAGTATGTGGGCCGCACAAGAACGGGGGTGAAGCACTTTACGTTTGAAAATCACGACGAAGCGGAGTGCTTAAAGTTGGGCTCGATCATCCAGTACACGACGAGTCCGAGGGCGATGCCCCATCGACCGGCGGCGGCGATTTCAGGGGCGCCGACGGTGCGCGCGGCGTCCTGGCCGATGCGCAGGATGGCGGGGGTGTTCATCTGGGTGAAGTTGAATTGGCGAACGAACTTGGAGAGCGCTGACATGGTGACGGGGGCGGCAGGTGCGAGAGTTGCGGAGCAATGCAGTGAACGTGTGTGTGCGCGCGTTTGTGCCGCTCCCGGAGAGTGGCGGGGGCGAAAGCAAGGGGACGGACGGGGGGTGGTGAGATGAATGGCAGCAAGTTTTGGTTGTGGGTGACACTTGTTCAATTGTTATGCGTGTGGGGTGTGTGACGGCGCGTTGGGGTTGGGAAGGCGCGTCGTGCCATCCACTTGTACAGCACGTGGGAGAAGCGAAGTGTGCGGGAGGACTCAAAAGTGGTAAAGATGTCTCGAAGAGAAAGACGTGCGGGTTGTAAGGCGTTGTGGCTGCTGTTGTTGTTGTTGTTGTTGTTGTTGTTGTTGTTGTTGTTGTTGTCCGGAGGGGTGGAAGCAGCAGCGTCGCGAAAATGTAAGGCGGTGGTGATGATGCGTAACAGCACATCGCGAGCGGCGTGCGACAAGACGTGCATCACGGCGTTGGAAACGTGATCATGTAAGTGGTGGTGCGAAGCATGACGCGATAGCAGTGCGGTCAAAGCGGCGGCGTCGAACAAAAGCTGGTGGTCATGGTGAGGTTCGGCAAAGCTGACGGGCGCGCGCGGCGAACAAAGCTGGTGCGCCTGGTGCGCTACGTTGAGGTGGGGGGGGAGCAGGGGCAGCACGCCGTCGCGGAGAGGCGGCTGATGCGTTGGGCGTGACGAGGGCGCGAGGCGTTGCGCGGCGGCGGGCGGTGGGGGGACGACATGGCGGCGACATGGCGACTGCAGCGCGGCGCGGCGGGAGGCGACAGCGGGCGGGCGTAATTTATAGCGTGTAGCGGAGGGGGATGCCGTTGCGGTTTGCGGGCGGTGCGGTTACGGCGAAGGCGCGAACGGGAAGAGGGGGGGGACGACGTGGCGACAGGGTGCGGTGATTAAGTAACACGCGAAACAGCCGACGGAGCAGACGTGCCGAGCGTGGCAAATGCCGTTGTGGCCAAGCGGTTAAGGCGTTGGTCTTGTAAACCAAAGATCACGAGTTCGAACCTCGTCAGCGGCTGTGGACCAATCGCTCCAAGCTTTACTGTTTTTGGTTTTTTGGTTTTGCTGAGTTGCAAACCGCTAGATTATTGTTTTCTTATTGCGTTCAGGGGGGGGGGGGGGTGTTGAGTTGAGTTCTCATTAGCGCAAGTTATGTACGGCCTTCTGGTGCTGTTTCATGTTGTACCTCTCGCGAAAGCGCGCGCCGCAGAAGCATTCGCAAGGCTTCTCCTTCCGATGCACCGACGTGACGTGCTTATCGGCGTGCGCCTTCTGCTTGAACGTCTTGTCACAGCCCGGCTCAGAGCAGGCAAACGGCCGTCGATCGCGGTGTACCATCTCCACGTGCCGCTGTAGCCCGTCATGGAACGAGAACGCCGACTGGCACTCTGTGCACTTAAACGGACGCGCCTTCTCGTGCAGCGCGCGGATGTGCTTGTTTCTGAGCGCACGGTAGGGGGGTGGTGGACATAGAGACTCACGCCGTCAGATTTTCAGCTCTGCAGCCTGGGGGGGGGGTGTGCCGTGGCGCGAAACGTACAGGTTGCCCTTCTCGCCAAACGTCTGCGCGCAGTAGCTACAGCTGAACGGGCGCTGGCGGAGGTGCACGGTGCGGATGTGCTTGGCGCGGTCGGAGCGCTGCGTGAAGGCGAATCCGCACGTGTCGCACGCGAAGGGGCGCTTGGTGGGCGCGGACGACGACGCGGACGACGCAGACGACGACGCGGACGACGCGGACGACGAGGAGGCGTGCGTGGCGGCGCAATGTTCCACATCGCCCGCCTTGCCGCCGTTGAGCAGGAAGTCGATGCGCAGCTTGGAGGAGACGCCGTTGCGACTGGCCGCAGCGTCCGCGCTGCGCTTGTGCTCATTCATTCTGCGGGCGCGTCAAGGAGGCGGGGGGGGGGGAAGGCGGGGCGGCGTGCGCGGCGCGCGCGGCGTTTTATACGCGCGAGGTGCGCGCGAGGTGCGCGCGTGGGGGCGGGCGTTGTCATGCGCAGATGGCATGATGCGCGCCGACGGCGCAAGTGTCGCGAGCGACGGGGGGGCGCGCTTCCTCAATCCGCGCCACACCCCTTCACGGCGTCGTGTGCGCGCGGCCAACTCGCGACAGGGCGCAGCTTTCCAACCGCAGCGCGGCGGCGGTGGCGGCGGCTCGGAAGCAAAACGAGAAACGAGCTAATTTTTGCGCGGATTGAGCAAAGGCGCAGCGCCTGCGCGCCGCGCCGCAGCACTCGCCGTGCGCCAAGTCTTCTGCGCGCGCAGCGCGCATCTGCGCACAACTTCCAATAAAAGCAGCTCTGTGGACTTGCGCTCACTCGCGCCGGCAGTCGCTGTACGCAAGCCAACATGTAGCCGCTCCCTACTTCTTCTCTGCTCAAACATTAAACGGCGCAAAACGTACAGTACCTGTACCGTTGGCGCACTACCAGCACCACCTGTGCTCGTTGCACACTTCAGCCCACACTTCTCAGCCGCACGCCCCACACCCCCTCCCCCGCCTTTACCACGCTGCGCCCCCTCACACTTATCGCTTGCTTACACCTCGTTGCGCGCGCCACTGCTAACCCTCATCCACAAACCGCTCCATTCCTCTTACTATTCGTCTCTCGCCTCTATTTTGACACCCCTAATTGCCCATCCACGCACCAATCACATCTCATCCCTCGCACGTCACCCTTCCCCGCCCTGATCACTTATCCGCCCGCACCGTGCTCTCCTTTAACCGCCGTCGTGTCTTTTCCCCTCGTGAGCTGCAGTGATCATGCCCACTTCTCATCCACCCAAATCCACCTTCACCCTCTCTGTATCCCCCGTAACGCACGCATGCGTGCATCCCTGTACAGTAACATGTCATCGCACGCTTTGCCACACAGCCCATCCGTTGCTACGCTATATTCCACTTTCCACAGCTTCCATCTCCCACATACACTGTCGCTGCCCTCAACTCGCCGCCCCAAATCCTCCTCACCTATCATCTCGTCTCCACACTTCGCGTGCCTCAAGCTCTACCTTGCACCCCACACTCGCCCAAACGCTGCCCATCAATCCTCCTTTTTTTCGAGTCTGCCCAAACAGCTCATTAAACAAAATTGTTACAGACACACTTTCGTGTAGTGCTCACAACTTGTGCTCAACGCCGCTCTGCACCATTCATTATTGTCTCCATGCGCTCCAGCCCTATATCCTTCTGCATACATCAGCACGTGCCAGTGTTACAGCACGTATCACCCCCACTTCGTCATTAGACTACCTCCCTCCGTACGTGTAAACAGTTTAACCCGTTTCAAGCGCACCTCCTCTCGTATGGCCCTACTGCTGTTGTTGCCCATTTGCATGCTTCCGTGTTTACAAAAAGCCCCGAGGGGTAATGTCCTCGTACCATTACGGAATAGTTTCTATCAATGCACTTCAAATGCACCCCAGAGTACCGCTGTCCGTCTCATCGCTGGCGCGTTTTTTATATGCAAATCCAAAAACTATGTTTTGCTCGTAAAAGCTTAACCTATATACCATGCTTACTTCCCTACTCCGTAAACCGATATCTACATAATACCCAACCGTATCTATCTTACTCTGCGTTAACTCCTTTCACCGTGCATTTCTTCCCGCCAGTTCTCGCGTGCTCTGCTCCTTTCAAAACGGATGGATGCAAAACTGTTGCTTGCTGTCTGGCCACTGTCGCTGCTGTGAGAGCACGCAATCATACCCTTGCCGTTTTCGCGTGCCGTGCCCATCCATCATGTGTGACCTTGCACGCTCCGTAAAAAAAAACCGTCCACACCAATCACTTTCTTGTGTACATGACCTCCACGTTCGCGTGTTTTATCCTTTGGCTACCAACGGTACCCGGCTCTCTCCCTCCAGCACTTCCCATCTTCCAACAAATGTGTAACATCGAGCCGCAATCGTGCCACCAACTCGTGTGCTGCAAACTGTAATCAACGTATCAAAGGTATCTGTCCGTCTGTCGGGCATCCGACATCCTGCCAGCTCGAGAATGCACATGGCTTGGGCACTGAATGTACGTACGAACAATTGTCACGATACTGTTTCTTACACAACTCCATTTCAAATCTTTGAACCGCCGCTTCATCACACCTTTGCTCCAGCGCATGCGCACCACTCTGTTCGTCGATATCATATGTAAGGAAAGAGTATTGTCATGCCTTGCAAGCTGCGCGCTTTGACTTTGGGTCGTTTTCGTGCCGTGGCAACTCCTCCACGTGCGTTCCTATCCCACTCCCACGCCATGAACAGAGACAACTCCTCAGCCAGCCAGCTCGTCGTCACTTCAGCGGTGACATCAAATCGACAATTCACTACACCACCGTTTCTGACAGAAGTGCGTCATGCACATCATTCGTTTGTGTACGACTAATCACATAGCTTCATTCGCCTTCCTGGCACCAACTCGAGCAACTTAAATAGACGTAGGTCGAATCGCTGATCCGTTTGGCTTTCATCAGACGCACATGCAGCACTCTCGAAGTCCGCACAACACCATGCACCAATAATGTGTTATGTCGAAGGTCCGACAGCAGCAATCGCTTGCGGGCCCCTTGATCACAGCATCATACGTACTCCAAGGCGCACCTTTCCAAGTTGAACTTGCTTATTCCAAGGGGTAAACGCAAAGGCACTGAAATGCCCAATTCCGACACCTGCTTGCTCTTCGAAGGCTTTCCTCGATTCCGCGAAGAATAAGTTCCCAAAGCAGCATATCTGCCATTGACACCACGACACGGGTAACGCATGTTCCTTTATTCCTTAGTGGCGGTTTGTGCGTTATCTCTCATTGCAGCGCAATCTAAGTGCAGGGCTCGCTACCACTTCACGCCTCATCACGCTCAGTCAAATCTTGATTTTGACACCACCTCTAATATTAACGCAGCCTCTCATTTCCTCTGAACACTGCTCGTCTCATCCATTCGCACAGCTCGCATGCATCGTTTGTTCTCGGACACAGGGAAAACATCCGAAAAATGAGGAAATCAAACACGATCGCTCGAGCCCTGTACAAGCAGCGATAGTGTAACCTTCTGATTTTTTTTATCTTACACCCGGTTTACACCAGCTGGAACGCTACCGTTGCACACCAGAAGCCAACAGGTGGAATCAATGACTCTCGTTTGAACTCTGAAACAGAAAAGTCAACGCCGATAAGATCGCTAGCAGGCTGCTAGTGGCAGCGCACTATGCAGTTCTCGTTCCTGGAATATAATGACATTTGCAATCTGCGTTGCTCATCGAAAGTACAATGTGCCACATCGTATACGTCTGACGCAAAAACCCAGCCAAGCTGAAGATCTTTGCGCTTTCTTTCTGCTCCAAGGCTCTCTTGTCCGTGGTAGGTAATGTCGATCTGCATTTTAATGGACACTTAAAAACTTTGGTGGGGTACACGTGTTGGTATTCTAAAAGTTTTGGAAAAGAGGTTTTTGGAATACCAACACGTGTATCCAACTCCACAAGTACAGCTTTATGGAATTCCGTTCCGCGTTCTCTCGTTTACGCTTTCACTTTGCTTCCGCTTGGCGAAGAATGTCCAGCCTGTCGCGATGGTGAGGATTTCTTCGAAGATGAGCAGTCACCGCGCACTGGGAATTGGGGCCTTGATTACACGCATACGCTCCCAGTGGCACACGAAGGTGGCTTCAACTACACTCGTACAGAGAAAAATGGGCATAAACGGCGCACCATTTTCCTTTTCTTGAGAATCTGAGGTCTCTGTCATGCCTGTTTTCACTTGTTTGGACAAAGATACACCCCTTCAGCAGGGACGAATATTAGTGGCACAAGAACAGAGGACGCGTTGTCATCAGGAACAAAAGAGATTTTACGATTTTAAACGTGTGTCAGCGCAACTCGTGGTACTAGTTAGTTCATCTTCATATCGAAACATCTTGAAGGACAAATAAAGAAACATCGAGGGTTGAAAGCGAGAGTTTCTCACTCTTTCAGGTCGAACATCGTCTATTTTCAACTCCCAAAACGACGCATGGCACCAAAGGAACG